CCACCAAAATATCATTTTTTTATTTTGCAATTTTTTTTGTAAAATGTTAAAATTGAACATTTATTTAATTTCAAGTCAAGTTTCAAATTTTTATATACTTAGCCGTTAATTGAAAATAAAAACATATAAAAAATTAATATTCACAAATATCATAAAATTATATTAGGGTATTTGCTCACTCATTATAATGTTGACCAATTACAGACTCCACAGCTACTGTACACGCCATAGCTCCCTCTTTACCAAGCAATGCAGACCCAGCTCCTGAAATACAAACACTTTATAATTATGTTACTTTGTCATTAGTTTTCATCCAGTATGCTACATACTAAATAATTATATAATCTCAGGGCATTATAGTTTTCCACAAAAATATTGTGTTTTCTTTAGTCTCCATAATGTTGTGGTGCTGATGATAATTTTAGTCCTAACCACTTGATTTTAATTTTGAACATGTTAAGTTGAATGTCTTCATAACCTCATTAAGACCAAGCAGGTGCTCACACAGAAAACCAATTATATATTAACAACATGTTCCTGTAACACTGTCACTTCAAGCAAATGTGGAGAAAATTCAAATTATATAAAAATGGGATAAGAAATAGCAAACTAGGAAGAGATAGAGTTATCAATTAAGGGCATAAAGCTATAATATTATAATGGTTGATTCTCAAAAAATATAACATATGCCTTGTGTGTTTTACACACATAGAAATTGTACGTAAACAGAATAATATGTTCCAGAACAAAATACTATGCTGCTGTTTTAAATAGGGTTTTAACCTTAAGGCAATAATATTGTGCATGTGACATTCACTCTAACCAAAATTTAAAAACTTATTTGTTTCCTTTTTACTAAATTTTGCAGCTTTCTACACTTTAACATGTGTACAAAATCATTTACCAAGTGCAAATCCTGCAATATTCCACAGAGGTAAGAGTACAGTTGGTCTAGCACGATGATCTCGCATCAACTTTACAAACTCTGCCAGATGCTTCTCTTCTTCTTCCTGCATCTCCTGAATGTACAGTTTATAATCTATGTAATGTATACAGTCTGTGGTTTTCTACTTTTGTCTTTCTAAACATGCTTAAAATCTTACAGCAGGGACTCAGTGAAAAACACTGATTCAGGCGAGTGGCAATTCAAACTAATAATCATATTGTTACAATTGTGTGAACATCATTTCTATAAAAAAATTGTAAATTGCATGATTATGTTTAAGATAGAACAAATCATACTGGTTAGGAATTGAGACTAAATGCACATATTTTTCAGAGTTACTTTATTTGTGCTACATTCTTACTGCTTCAAGAGTTCAATCCTAAAAACTGAATGCAGCATTTATCAATATAAAATTTACACAACTGCTACCAAAAACAGTTTTGAGCTGTAAGGAAAATATCCATCTTTGTTTGTTGTTACAACTTATCACAGACTTCAAACATAACTGGTTTTAGCAACATTTCATGGTCAGAGAGATCTTTATACAGGATTTATTTAAATACATGTAGTTTGATTGTGTATGAATCTATAAACTTAACACTCTCTCAAATCTGATCCTGGAACCAACCAGTTCTAAGAATTGAGTGTAAACTTGGAGACAACAGCTTGCTCATGAAAGGGTTTGAACCCATGCAGCCAGCAATCCTTAGATTAAAAATACTACTCTGACATATTAACCATTTGGCCACATGGCCATGCTATCACCTCATAAGAGATAATTTATATGAAATGCAAATTATGCCTCAGAAATGAATATTTTTTTCTAAATCATGTATTTAATAAAGTTTAATAATGGGTTTCAAGCATTTTAAACTTAGAGGCTTATAACTTGTAGAAAGAAGTGCTGAATGTAAAATAATTTGTAATAAATAAAGTTAAACTTAACAAAATGGTGTTTTGATATCCATAAAAATACTATATTACCAAAGAACAGAAGCAAAAGATGGTTGAGCGTTATCTTAAAGAGTTCTTTTTGGGACACACTGTAACATGATAACAGATATAAAAGCTATTGAGAAATAAAGATCATAAATGTTTACCTGTATTATAGGTCCTGTTGGGGTGTTGCCCAGTATAGCAAGCTGACCCTGGTAAATTCTTTTAGCACCAAACTCTCCAGCATGATCTATTCTGATTATTTTATCTAGTAAAGCCTTTGTCTGCACCTCCTTGGCTCTATGACTCATACATCTTGTAAGTGTACGGTACATATGATATCTAACATATGTCCTTGCCACTATGGGTGCTGTCATTGCCATCTTCTGTTAATTTGTTTAAAGTGAACATATAATTTCTAAATTCACCAATGAATGAAAACTTTTAATGTACAAGATTTATGACATCTAGGCAGACAAAATGACAATGTACATTGTATGAAATCAAAAATGTCTCTCTTGGTTTTACCCACTATGAGAGGACGTGATGTGTGAGAGAGGGAGGTGGCAGAGACATTTATTGCCATATTTAAGTAATCTACAGGCATTTTTGTTGTGCCCTCCTAAAGTACTTAAAAGTGATTTCATTACAAATAAATGTAAAAATCTAAAAAAAATCCTCCTGCCTTCACTAATTAGCTTGTTCTACAATAACATTTAACTATCTATATGCAGTCATATACAATGTATTTAAACCTTTCAAAGTTTATTTCAAATACAGAACAGTTGCTTTCTCTCTAGCAGCCAAATATCAAAAATAATATAAATATCAAGACTGTCCAATGAAAATTCATGTTGCAAACGATAAGTATTTATTTTCCTATCCTCAACACATTCTAAAAGTTCACAAACCTTTTTGACCTGAATCCATGTTGGAGGTCAAATAAAATATTGTTGACCTCAAAGTACAGAGTAATTTGATGCATAGTTTTGCAGAGAACACATGTCAAGGGAATGGGTCCGTAATTTGCCGACTTATTGCATTTCTTAGAAGGTGGGAGGGTCGTTGCTGTTTGCCTTGGTCCCATCAGAGGGAATAGTGCCTGTATCTGATGACTTTTGAAAAATTTTGGTGACCAGGGAGGCAATATATACACCTAAATTTTTAAAGACTATTGGTTTTAATTGCTGGAGATTGGAGTATGTATTATGTTTATGCGTTGGGCGTCCTCAGGCAAAAGTAAGTGTATACAGAATCCAAGCTTTGAAATATACACATCCAGCAGCAATAAACATGCGTACAAGGACTGTACACTGTTTTCCCTGCTATTAAATTTCAAGTTAATTTATCTGAGGAAGTCAAAGGCAAGGACAATGAAGCAGGCCCAGGCTTTGGCTTGCCCTGCTATAGATTACACATGTATATTTATGTAATAGTTTTGTAGTTTGGAATTTCTTTACATGCAAAAATATATAATTATATAAAGGGAGATAATGATTCAAATATAATTGTTGAAAGTTTACATTGATATTGTACATTAAGATAAAGGGAAATAATAATTAAAATTTTATTTTCAAATTAAACATAGTTTTGATATTAAATTGTTTTTTGTTATTGTTGAAACAGTACATTATTATGAAATTCTGATGATTTGTTAAAAATTTTGTATACTTTGAGAAATTTTAAAACCATGTAAAACATTATATTGTGAGTTAAATATAAACTCTTGATTGCTTTGCTGTCATCGGTGGTTATCTTATTGGATTGGACATAAGTATTGTTACTGGTCCCAAATTTGTGGTAAGGTAACAGTAAGAAGCATGAGGAAAGTTAATAGTAACACCTTGATAGGCTACACTGCAAATGGTTAAGTTGTGATAGTTAACACTTCAGACATTATATTTGATAAAATCATATCGAGATGAATTATACATTGGGAATATTTATGTATTATGAATTAAATTTAATCTTATTGCACAAAATTAAATGTCATCAATCTGATCTGTTTTTGTTATCACTGTTGCTAAATTAGGCACAGTGCTAGAATCATTCAGGGCTGTAGTCACCTCGCAAACTAATACCGCTACATTTAAATAAAATCAAATAAATAACAATTTAAACATAATTATATAGAATTCTATACCCATCAAAAAATTTTTCATTGTTAGTTTTAGTTGGGCGCCGCCATTTTCAAAGTAACTCAATGGTAATAGGCAGGGTATTCCAATAACATTACAAATTTTCAGATTAATAATAATCGTTGAGTGTTTCAGGTGAAAACGGAAGCCACGCATGAAATATCGAATGACACAAGGGCATACATGTGAACTCTCCCACTTTTAGCGGGAGACTCCCACTTTCTGCAGCCATATTATCAAAGATTTTTCTTAAAATAAGTGGTATTTTCACAAATCAAAGAAATCTCCCTATTTTTGATGTCAGAACTTCCTTCTTTGTTTATTGCAAATTCTAAAATCTCCCTCTTTTTGAAAAAAAATCTCCCACTTGATCATCAAAAAAAGTTCACATGTATGCAAGGGTCTTTAAAACAAAAAAATGAAAGGATTTCTTTTACAGACTTCCCTGTTAATAGGCTTTGCCTTATTTCATATTATCATGGAGCTAAATATAGATGGAGAAGAAATTGTGACGTCACACAGTTAAATTCAGTATCGGCAGAATTGTGTTCGCACAAGTTATCATATGTCACGGAATTTTGTGAGATTTGATGCATCCTCCAGGTAAAAGTAGCCAAAATACCGCCATAATGAATTCCCGGAGTTACATCGACAAAAAAGACGAAGCATTTTAAACATATATAAGAAGCAATATTTATTTATTCTAAAACGTCCAACACACACTTTTTCACACAAATATTTCTCCGATGAAAATCTTTGTCGGCAATGTAAACAATAATTCACGGATATCGCCAAGTTTAACGACAGCGCGAAAATTAAAGACTAGCAGGAAAACCCGATTATCATCATAGCGCACAAAGGATTGTGGGTCTGAATCTGACTATCTGTTGTTTATATATCTGTCATCTGTGATATTATTTCACTTAAATTGCCTTCTTGCAATATGAATTTTATTTAATGATATCATAATGCAATTGATCCTACCAAAAATTATTGAAGATGTGTGAAAAGAATTACATATTACATATAAGTTCAGCAAATCGATACCTATCGTTTAAATTGCCAATGAAGCAGTACGCAGTACAAATTTTAAACGGGGCGAATCGTTAGTGGTGCGAATGATATCAATTAAACTGACCTGAAAAGAATTTTACAACCCGCAGGAAATCTACATAGATATACGATTGTTTTTCAAACCTATTTAGTAAATTTTCAAATTTGGTAGACAAAAGATAAAAATTACCTTCCAAATCCTTTGGAATAACGAAAGAAAACTTTATAATGATGCTGTTTGTTTCGTAACAATATTAATGGAAGCTGACATATTGAAGGAACGAGGTGAAGAATTAAATGAGATTTTTTTAAATATAAATTTTATTTATCTTTTCCCTTTATTTGATTCCATACAAACATATTAGCATCATCTTTCTTAATTTTTTAAGGGAAAGGATATCCAATTTTTATTATCTTTTGTTTATTTTCGATATCAACCAATCAGTGTGTTTCAAAATCAGCTGATTTCCCAATTCATGATTTTGACAGATGGTGGGAAACTGAGTTATCTGTGAATGAAGACATGATACACAAGAAGATTCTGCTCGTGTCTAACGAATTCATTCTTTTTAGGTAAGAATTTTGAATGTAATTGTAAGACAGATTGTGTCCACATTGATAATGAACACTGATAAACTCTTATCTTATAGGAATTGAGTTTTGATAAACAGATAAATAACAGATAAAATCAATTATTTTCATTGATTGCTTAATATAAACAGATAAACAGACCTATACTTTCTGTTTTTGATGCACTGCTTATTAATTTTCATGAAATTAATTTTTTTCTGCAATGTTACAATTGATTAATTTATCAATTGGAAGTTTTTCTTTTAATTGACTTTTTATTAGCTAGATGTTTATCCTAATTACAGTATGGATAATCTTAATTGCACGTGATTCATGTCAAGACAGAATGACAATAGTCTTACTAAATATGTAACTCTTCTTTGTTTTAGGAAACCTTAGATAAAAATGTGCTTGAACATAGTCCTAAATTTGCACATACTGCTTAAAAAATTTTAAGGTCTGTTTATTAATATAAATATTATTGTTTAGGTTAGCACATTGTGTAAGAGCTGTCATTGATAGAGACAATATTGATGTATTGTTGATATTTTTCTGCCAACCAATAATCGATAGGCATTTGTAAAAATCGATAATTTTGGTTTTTTATTAATGTCTTAATGAATCATGAAAATTTGACCAAAACATATACAAAAACAGGTGGCCATGTCTCAACACCAAGCTGTTGTGATATAATGGACACATTTCATAGCAGTGATGACAAAAAATGGTTAGGGAAAAGTCCTACAAAGGACATTTATAAACAGGACACAACATATTTGTATGAATAGAACATATATTTTACAAGGTATGAAAGTGAATTATATAAGAAATAAGGAGTATATATCGATATATTGGTTTATTGGTGTATTTGTCATCCGATATCAATGTATCATCAATATGCTTTACTATGAATCAATGATAGCTCTACATTGTGTAAATTTTCTTTGATTTGGAAACAATTTGACATTTGTTGAACAAATTTGTGGGTAACATGCATGTCTGCAACCCCCCCCCCCCCCTCCCTGTTTTTTTCATGGCTTAAGCTGCCTATTCGTTGGCAAGGCTTTCTTTGGGGAAAACAGACTCATTGGCTTTAAATAATATCAAATTTTGAGTTTTATACTTAAGTTAGACTTTTTTAACATGTGTATGATGTCAGATGTCGGAATATTTGTATATGCTTATGTGGAGTATATAAAGCAGTTTTGCCATTTTCCTTGTAGAGTTAACTTTTTCAGCTAGCTTAACTTACCAGATACCTTGGTGATCCTGATTTAGTCATTAGCATTTGGAATGCCAGCAATGAATTAGAAAAAGTGACAAGTGCCAATCAAAGCCAAAACTTGGTCCTAGTACTCCTATGGTCTTGTTCTTATTTAGATTTATATCAAATGACAAAATTTAAGAAGTTAAAAGCTCCAAAAGTCTTTAGATCTCTCAATTTTGCAACCAGACAAATGTAGTGTGAATCAACTAGGCCATCACTTTAAGGACATTTTCGGGAGTTTTCATATAGACATATAGGCAAAATTAAAACTGTTCAATAGAATTTCTTTAAATTTGGCATGTTGTTAGAATATGATAACAGAAACATTTTAGTCTTGGCTTAGACTCTTGACCACAAGCATATGTAACTCAGGGTGTCCGTTCAACCCTTGAAATGATTTTTTGACCCTTCAAATTTCCAAAAGGCCTGAATTGACACTCAGGATTGAAACTGGAGGATCAAATTTTGTTAAAATCACGGTGATTTGGCCTCGTAGTTCAACTTGGTAAAACTTAAGTCAAAATGACCCTCAGTGTTTCATGGCTATTGTACACCCTGTAACTTATGGCAATTTTTTTTTTAACAAAATACTCTTGACCATTGAGCCAAAGAATCCATTCCCTGATGCAGCTCACAGACGCTTGGGGGTCAGATCCTGCCCCCCAACGTGATACGCCCCTGTAAACACTCTACCAAAACTATTTTAATATTTAATGGGACATCTATTACAACGATAAAAATGGTTTTCAAACAATTTTTACATATATGAAAAAATACCGTATACCATCAAGTCTCAATAAATACTCAATACAACCGAGCCTGCAACATTTTCAATTTTGCCGTGTTGGGCTTTCTTTAGGGATTCTGTATTTATCTATTTTATTATTAAAATGATTTTAAAGCTCTACGCCTCAGTATGATCGAAAATCAATATTAAGAAAAGTGCGGTTTAAGACTGACTTTGCAGTATTTTATCACCATATTTCTACTGCGCTACTAAAGCAGTAAGGGCTGGTTTTGCATATGTCAGGACAACCTTTTGGTAATTTCTGTGGATTGTAAGTGCCAATTGCAATATGTTAATTACTTTATTTGTTCACCTCACATTTTTTTACTTTTAAATACAATTCCAAAAATGTTATAAAAATTAACATGAGTCTGGAGCTTTAAGATATAAAGAAAGACTCATCACATATACACAAACAAGAATATGATCATAACATACTGTGTGGAAACATAATCACTGTATCATTTATTGCAAGTATATTCAATTCAATATGTATGGGTTATGTGTATATAACAATAATTACAAGATCTTTCACTTCCTGTCACTATATCATATATTTTGCAAGCATATACAATTCACCTTGTATCATCTTTTGCGATCACAGGAAGTAGATGCGTTTTACTAACAGTGATAAGTGAATGAAAAACCTTATATGTTACTTAAAATGATGATATATGACTGATTCAAACTGAACATTATGTGTTATTATTGGCGAGATTATAATTTCTTACATATAGTCAGTACTGTATATAATCCTAACTGACAGGGATGCAAACTTAGGCTATTAACCCTTATAAACTTTAATATTGATTTTTCTTCTTAAATATGTTCATCTGCACTTAACTGAGGCTTTAATAACAAGTCACTTAAGTGTCATTACAATTATTAATTTCTTTATATTATTTATATTATTGATTACTTATTATTGATTGCACTGAAAAGTACATAGATAGATAGATATTTTTTCAGGTTAAAACACAAATATACATAATACAAACACTCATACATTTTTATATTTAAGTTATAACACAATTGTAATAAAATATTTCGGAAGTTTGTCAAACATAAATATCACATGAGGCTGACATTAAATAATAAATAATAATAATTAAGAACAAAGGCGTCCAGCAGGTAAAGGGTTAGTCTGGACTGAAAATGGATGTTTACATAAATATTTAATAAGATAATCATACAATGTTTTGGTACATGTATAGTAAAATGCTTTTGTCATGTTATAAAAAAGCCATTTTCCTGTAATATTTCTATTATGCATTATAATCAAATAAGTAAATAAAATATATATATTTTGAATTTTATTGTAAGTATTATGTTTCCAATTTCATTTTTTTAAAATTGTAAATGCATAATAAAAATATTACAAGAAAATGGCTTTTTTATATAGCATGACACTTTACTTAGGTTGCTAATCTTGGTGCAGTGACAATGTACTAAGAGATGAAATAAATAAGTTTTATGGTTTAACATTTGATACATATATTTTTGGTGGGATACAAATTTGACTTTTTTACTTCCATGTAGGTTTAACATAGTTTTAATAGTTTTGGCAATATTTTAGTATTTTCATCTATATTTTATAATTATGTAAAACAAAATTATATTTTGGTGCAAATATTATTTTCATGTTTAGTTAGAAGTTTTAATTTAGATGACAGTTTTTCATTACATTCAGTCAGAGTTACAGCCCTTTTTATATACAATTTAAATTATTTTTATGTTTTTATGTTTATATGATTATCATGTTTATTAATCAAGTTGGGTATCTTCAGATGAATGATATATTATCCAGTTTCTAGTGTATCTTCCTTTTTCATATTTGTGTCTTTGAAAATGCATGACTTATACAGCAATTAGTGCTATAGGGGCCATCTCATTAATTTTCATCAATCTGCTAGTCATATGACCAAACTCCGTACCAAATCTTAAGACTGTAGGCTAAAGCATTTCCAAGTTATTTATGTATAACACTTTGATTAGTTAATCCACTCAGACAGGGAATGACTATCATAAGTCTAAATGAATCAAATTTTATTTAATCTTGAAAATCCCTAAAAACTATCTGTGTTGAAAAATGATTTAATATTATAGTGGAGACTTGCAATTATATGATGACAGTTGTAATGTCACACTTCTTTATATAAAATACCAGATAAAACTGGAGTAAACTGGAACATCTACATCAGTGATATAGAATGAAGTTGCTGTGATTATTGTAAGATGTAAATGAGGATATAGATATTGTTAGTCTTTGTAAATTTAGATTGGACATTGTTCAAAGAAAGAAGGCCTCTAGTTGGTGTACAATTATATAGAAAGGAAATGTATTTATAAAAAAACAACAAATGGAATAATGATGTCAATTGATTTATACTAACACTTTCTTTCTGTGACCACTAGAACTTGAAAAATGATTACTTCAGTTTTTGTTGTTCTGTTTCTAGAATATGCCTTTGAACTTTTTATTATGGTGGCATAGAGTTAACATTTGTAGTATTATTTTATCTTGCGGCCACAACTTATTATCTTGTTGCCACAAAATAATGGTCACAAGATAATATCTAGAGGCCA